TGGAGTATTCAGCCATTCCTCTATTAGAGCTTCTTTCATTTCACGTGGCTTAACTAGCGGCGAATTCCGCTGACGTATACGTCGTCCCACTTCGTCCCATTCGGGGTCGGGACTGTGTGCTGGCCACTCCATGTGTGAGATACCGACATCTTGAAAATAGGGAAACACAACACTAACTGAACTGTATGTGGGCGGGCATTGTCTGGCTTAAAAAAGACTTTCTCGCCCATGTCCACTAAAAATGGACCAGCGTAGTCATTCTGAATTTCCGTGACATATCTTTCTGCAGTTAAAATTACATTTTCTATCACCATTAGCTCCGATGTTTCTTCCGAAAGCTACACGCTTTCGAAGAAGCCCACCGTAGAACCACAAAAGAGCCTCCACCGTATGGTACTTTTTCTTGCACACAAGCTTGTTTATAGTGCTCTCCCGCTTTCCTGTACACTCTTTCCTTCCGTCGTGTTTGTATTAATAGAATCTAGACTTGTCTGAAAACATAGCTCTTGACCAGTAATTCAGGGTCCAACTCTCGTGTTCTCTACCATAACTTCAATAGAAATTCTCTGCGTTTGTTTTCTGGTCGTTTAAATTTGCTTCAACCAGACGCTGCCTCACTCTATCCGTACTAAGATCATTCCTCCAGCTCTTAAATGATAATTCTTTACTTCAATATCCGTAATAAAGCGATTTCTTAAAATTGTTGACACCTTATAGCGATCCTCCCCCGCCGTCGTACACCTTGTGCGGCTTGTTCCTCGCGTTCGAAGATTGCATCCAGTTTCATGGAAATGCTAGAGTACTCACACCAAGGGATATTTCGCTGACTGTGGCCATCTTCAAGCTTAAACAGGATCCTGGTACATACTTCAGGGGTTAATGATGTGATGACATCAGAATAATAAAATTTATAAGACAGAGACATCATATTTATAACTTTTTTATTGCAAAACTAAAACAAACGCAACACAATTGATTTGATTTTTTTTTGGAATAAATTCAAAAACGACCATTATTTAACATTTTCAGTTTTTTATACAATTATCACAAAAAATAAAAATGTTTAATATATTATTTTATGTGACATTAAATATTCTTCATTTCATAAAGCTGGGTCAGGCACTTTTGAAGATTTTTTAACAGACCCTTTTTCTCTGCGGCCCAGTGTATACCAAAATCACAAATACTCAAATGAATCAATCCTTATTATTAAGCCTATGTCTATAATTGTCTATAAAAAAAAAAAAAAGAGCCGTGATAGCTCAGTGTCCGGGCGCTCGCCTTAATTCAATGTACTCGTGCAACCTGAGTTCGATCCCCGGTGCCGGCACCAATGAATTTTTTAACTTTAAGTGCTGACTTATCACGTGCTCCGCGGTGAAGGAAAACATCGTGAGGAAACCTGCATATTTTCGAAATAATAAAAAAAAATATATATTTCGAATATATGTGAAGTCCGCCAATCCGCAGTGGGGCCGCGTGGTGGACTATGCCCTGATACCCTCTGTATAGGAGGAGGCCTTTGCCCAGCAGTGGGACATGTATAGGCTGTTACTTTACTTTACTTTTTTTACTATAATTTCTTATTTACCGTAAATGTTCTATTTAGAAATCATTCTATTTTTAACAAACAATGAGACATTGAATTCGTTACTTGTATCTTGTATACTTTTAGTTACGTAAGTTAAAATTAAAGAAAACGACACAAACAAAAAAAATCAAAATCATTTATTCATTCACTTATTTAACATATATTTCATCTATCGATGGTCATTTTTTTAATCTACCACCGTTTCATAATGAGGTTCCTCTAACGGATAATAAACAGGCGAAAGAAACTCCGTAGATATCATCTTTTTTGTAATCTTTTTCTTAAAAAAGTTAATATATTATACAATTGATTTTGACACAAGCAATTGAAACAAATTGGTGCAGATCAATTGTTAGCGTTTTTCTTCTTCATTCATTATAAAAACTTTATATACGTCGTGCTGTTTCGATATTATAATGGTTGTGTTGTTTAACATTGCAAGGACAAAGTGAATCCAAAGAAATGCAAGTTCACCCACACTGCGTCACATCACATCTCGTTACACAGCTGGCTTACTGCATTTACATCAAAACCATCCATTAATATAATTATGGGAGGACCTATAATTATAATTCTATACGCATATGCCTCCGCGTTAACGCAGTTCCATTGAACATTTTGAACACTGTTAAATTATTATTTTTTCTTGCCTATCCCACCTTACTTTACCATTTAATACCTTTTTATTTTTCGAAAAACATAGCCCTTACTTTAGGATAACAAATTATCCTGTGTTGTAAGGACGTTTTACAAACATAAATTTCGCGTGGACAAACACCCAGATGCGAAACAACTAATTAACACAGTTGTCGCGAGTGGGAATCGAACCCACGACCCCCGACGCTGAAGCCAATACCTTGGCAACTGCATCACGGAACCATTTATACTATACCTACAAAAGAAATTCTTGATTGTATGTTATGTTATTGGCAAGCTCTTTTGGTCTTAAGGTTTTACTTAAGGCTAGCTCAACAGGCTTTTAATTGATGTCACAATTCTCCACATTTGAGCTAAAAGAGTTGTGCCAGTATGTGACGAATAAAACACTCTAATGATAAAATATGCCCTGTGTTTTCTTCCGATTATATAGCACCAATGATAACAAATCTGATGATTCAAACAAGACATTATTTGTGTCTAGTTTATTAGTTTGGATGACTTTTACGTCAAACAAGGAAAGTTTCATTCAAACATTTTCTTATTTGACTTGAAAAGTTATCCAAAGAAGATAGAAGAAGCTCAGAGGTAGTGTCAATGACCAAATTCCAAATTGAACAATTTGGAAAATATTATCTACTTAGTATTTTAGCACATATGCTATAATATACTTAAACCGAGTCAAACTCGGTTTTTTACTACTTAGTATTTTAGCACATATGCTATAATATACTTAGGTTTTTTTTTGTAAATCGTGATTTTTGGAAATAAAAATAAAGAAAGCAATGACCTAGTATAGAAAAAAAAGTAAAAAAAATAAGTGTGTAAATGATCGTGACACGAACCGCAGCCTTCTGTTTCGTGCCGCCCGATTACCGACCGAGCTATTATAAAAAATTTTTTTAGGCGAAATTTACCGTCATATTCGAATGATATTTTTCATTCCCTGCAAACGGGATAATAGGACATTTTCTAAAAATGGAACCTAGCTAGATCGATTGTTCGCCCCCGAATCTACGCACATACTAAATTTCATGAAAATCGCTGGAGCCGTTTCCGAAACTCCGATTATATTGATATATATACAAGAATTGCTCGTTTAAAAGTATTATTATATGTTATTATTATTCAAACTTATTCATAAAATAGAATTCATAAAATGAATGATTATTTTTCTATTTAAATTTTATGAACAAGTATGCCTTTACAAAACTCCGATTTGGACAAACTTTTGGTCGAAAATATTTCTTCAGTTGACTGGACCGATGCCTCAATGAGTTTGGGTAGTTACGTAGCCAACTGCTATTAAGTGCATTATCGAGGATTTGATCCTCAAAACCTAAAAAAGGGCTCATAGCGAAAATTTGTGTGATGGTAAAAACTATAAATGGAACCAGTAACTTCGATTTCTTGTTATTAAACACGGAAAGTCCGCATTAGGGGCGTTAGTTTCAAATACAGGACTCATTTTAAAATGTGTTTTCAATTTAAAAGACTATTAGCTTTTAATTAAAATAAACCAGTACATTATACGGGATCTTTGTTGTGTTTTCTTACCTTGAAATCACCTACGGAACTTACACCTACTGGAAAAACGTAGCAAGTGGTGATTTTGTTGGCGTGTGTTGAAAGTTAATATTTAAACTAATTCAAGGTAATACTCCATCTAGAGCTATAGGCGAAATTATTTCCCTACGTGACAATTTTTTTTACAGTAAAATTACTTTCTTCGAATCTGTTGTTAATCAGATTTAAAAATAAATAAAATTTCTAAGTGTTACTATTGTAACCTACTCCTATGGTATACAGAAAATCTGTGTACAAAATTGAATTTCATATACCCACGAAAGACTTGCAGAGTAATGATGGGTTTGCAAGGATTTGTAAGGATAAACTTCGTTCGTTTGCTATTCATTTCGAATCAATGTTACATTTATTCAAATAGAGCATGATCTACATGTTATGTTGTACATACATACAATCATTTGATAATTGTACGAGAATTTATATCGAGATTGGCTGAACAGAAAGATGATAATGGTCTAAGGTTTCGTCAAAATAATTTAATTTTTCATACGCGTGATCCAAGAATCAAGTTCATATTTTTTAAGCATGTTAGCTTTTTTCTTTTTAAATAAAAGTAATATATAATAACAATTTTTTCTTTTATTTAATTCATGCAATGCTCTACGAGTATAAATGGATTTAAAGTCAATATTTTTATCAGTGAGTTTTTATGAAATTATTTTATTTGTAAAAGATTATTTACACCCAGAATAGCCAGATTAACAGTTTTTTATACTGATGTTTAAATATGTATTTCATGAGCTTAATCACCTCTGCCTGTCGTTTCGTCATTGCGAGCAAATTCGCTAGTCAAATGTTGTCTAACGTTTGGGCACGGCAGACTTTGTCACGCAAACATAACACGCTCAGAAACCTTTAAGCTGTGCTACGGGCAGTGTGAAATAACGTTTAGAACGCGAACCCAAAAAAACTGTATGAGTTCGATTCGATTATTCGTAGACATTAATTGTGATTGATTTAATTGTGGGACAGTTTGAACGGTCATGGGGATAGGCGTTTTGGTGTGAAGGGAAAAGGCATAGGCTACGTAGGGCCTCGAGACCGCGCGTGCCTGCGTAGCGGCTCGCGTGGCGACTAGTGATGAGTTTTCCCGCTCCGCATCACGGGGTGAGATCGCGCGGAAGCGAAGGTTACGCCCGTGACCGCGCCCGCCGCCGCGGCTTTACATCGTCGGGCGCGCAGTATCGCGCCGCGCTCGCCGCTCGCGGACCACGGAGCTCGCGCACCAAGAGCGGACCGCCGCCACGTAGTGATGTGCGTAGCGCGCTAGCCGACCATGTGCAGGCGGCGTTTGTGTGTTGTGCGAGAGTGCGCGAGAGGCTGCAAGAGGCGTCGCGCCGCGCGCGTCTAGCCCGGGCCCCGAGATGTGGACGCTGCTCGGACTCCTTTCGGCGCTCGTCGCCTTCGGTGGCGGCGAGTCGTTCGCGCCCAACAGGGAGTTGCTCGAGTGCGCCAGGTTCGTACGGGATGGATCGTGACAATGGCCCATCAGTGAGATTTTTGCAAGAAAACGCGACCAGTCTAGCGAATGCAGTCGTTAACACCGAGACCTCGAGTGAGCTACAAAAATAATTTTAGATGGGCACGCCAGACATGGCCGTTTGCCCGTCTCGTTGTGACTGAAAAATAGAGATACATCTGAAAACTTGCGATGACGGGATATTCACATCTTTACCTTTAATCTTAATTTATAATAGATAATGGTATAATAATACTTATCAATCAAAATTCTATTTTAATCAGTAAAATTTCCCCAGTGGTTACTAAAGAGGGTCAATGATTTTTTTAATGCTGGAAATCGGTCATTCAAACATAATGTGCAGATGTTTTATGTGACACATAAAGTAATATAAGTGCGATAATGCTACAAACAGAGCGATAAAAATATTTGAGAATTCTGGCAGCGACGTTCCAACGTTCGGGACCGGACGAACGAGAACGCTCAGACCGAGCCGCCACCTCTCCTTGGCAAGGCTAATTGTTGACATAAACACGTCTCCCTCCTCTCAACGTAATGTGGCGCTGAGCAAGTGAGATTGACCAGGTGCAACGGTCCGGCACATATTTGACCGTGCGACAAAATGCTGTTCTAATAAATTCCGCAATAATTATTTGGTTACATATTAAATGAAACTAGTTTACCGAATAAAATCCGTGAACTAGTTTCATTTGATACGTATCATATTTGCGTAAAATCAACAAGTCAATATATTTTGTCACAATTAAAATTACCAGTTTCTTCTATTACAAAGTCATTTTGAAAGACGGACCAGATTTTTTTTTCCGAATATAATATGTAGATATCGGAGGATTTCTGTTATAAAGATCTTCATTCTTCTTCAAATTCTTTTAATTTTTTTTATCATTTAATTTGATGATACTAGTTTCATTAGATTCATCGAAATTCAACGAATTCATTCTGTGCAACCTAAGCATTATCAGTCTTACGTATCCATAAAATCTTTGCCGACAATAAAAAACTATAATATAATTCAGGTCTACCAAAACATTTACGAAAATTCTTAAGAACATGTACTTGCGATTCTTAGGAATTCTTTTAAAAACTGTTTTTAACACGTAATTAAAAAACTTATTTATGCAATGTTACTCGTTTTTGGTACATTCATACTACGGACGCTAAGCTACCATCTCATAAACATTGACGCAGCAGCTACAGTGGTATGGCCACGCAACGGTCTTGGCTGTTGCAGGAATGGGCAGGGACGTCCGGAAAAGTACCACGACGTGGCAGAAGATCAGCGTAAATTGGAAGTGTTACAGTTTTGCTTTTCGTCTGTTGAGTGAGGTAACAGGTGGCCACTTTATTAAAAGGTGGCAACGCGTCAGTGACCCTACGGGTGTATCAGATTTTTATGGCCGGCGATTATGTCCTAACATCAGATGAACTATCACTATTTACTATTATAAACACAAATAATACTTACTCAAATCACAATCCATTCTAATATCATAAATGCGAAAGTAACTGTCTGTCTCGCTTTCACTCCAGAACTACTGGAACCGATTTAAATGAATTTTGGTACACAGATAGTCTAGAGCTTGAGAAAGGACATAGGCTACTTTTTATTTTGGAAAAAAGTGTTGTAAAGGGTTGAAAGATATTTATTCAACGCGAGCGAAGCCGCGGGAGAAAGGCTAGTCGGTTCATAGGTGAGATTTTAACGGAAGCAGATGCTCGTCTGTGCAAACAAAAGTGCAGACGTGTCAAAATATTTCGCCAAAATAAAAGTTATTTTAAGGACATAACGTATATAATTTTTAATTCCACGGAGAACGGAAAGTTTCAGGTTTTTAGAAGAGAAGCGAAGAGTACTTATAATTTTGTGTTTTGCCGGGTGAGTGAGGTAACTGCTGAGCCACCCTGTTACAACTAGCAACGTGATAGATATCTCTATATATATTATATATACTTGCCATAATTTCTCATCAAAAAAGTTATTTTTCCCGATTGGCGTAGAAGATAGTGAGCCTGTCTCTTGCTCCAGAGGGAGTGGATTCGATCCCCACTACTAGAACAATATTTTGTGATGAACATAGTGCGTTTTCTAGTGTCACGCTATATATATATATCCATGACATGTATTTATTTACGTAATGTAAATATGTTTAATGTGTTTATCAGTTAGCTAGTACAAGCTTTGTTGCTTAAATTGGGACTAGTTAACGTTGTGAAAAAATATGCCCAGAATTTTTTTTTGCTTTTTTTAAAAAACATTGCCCTTACTTTAGGATAACTTAATAGCGTGTTGTAAGGACGTTTTGCAAAAATAAATTCCACGTGGACAAACACCCAGATGCGAAACAACTGTCTGTGGGTCGCACAAATAGTTGTCTCGTGTGGGAATCGAACCCAAGACCCCCGACGCCGAAGCCAATACCTTGCCAACTGCCCCACAGAGTCATCGATTACACATATTTATTAAATAGCTGCTGCCCGCGACTATGTCTGCGTAGAATAGGCTGAAGGCGTATATCAGACAGATATACATAAAGTTATAAAAAATATTAAAAAAAAAAAAATTTCATACAAACTAATTAAGTAAAAAAGAAACAAAATTTGTAACATCCTATACAACTACAACTCACTAATTCATACATTCCGAGACTTTTCCATTCATTGGCCACAGCGTCGCATTACAAGCCTCTCCTTCTAACAGTATGTTTTGTCTCTTTTAAATTCGTTCAACCCATTCATATGCTTTGTGACCTTTACAAATGAACTTTACGTTACAGTTTTATACGTAAGGTGTTCTAAAATTCTTTGTTTTGGAAAATTTAATAACTCTGTTAATATTGATGTTTAAAGAATGTAAATGTTTAATACAATTTTAAAAAGTTATCCTCTAAATGTGTGTTCATTTACAGTCGCGATTGTAAAGACACGCTGTATAAGCTATATTAGTGTAAAGTTTCATTAAAATCCATTTAGTAGTATTTGCGTGAAAGAGTAACAAACATCCATCCATACATACAAACTTTCGCGTTTATAATATTAAGTAAGGATTAATTTTGGAAAAATTGATACGGTTATTGGTTTTGGAGAGTCCCTTTAAAATGTAACATTTCATCGACATTGGTCTCCCATAATTCATACCACTAAGCGTAGTGTCGTAAACAATTTATTCAGGTTAGACAGACATTTCCGCGTTCGGCAAATGTCACTCAAATACGTGCATGCTATCATATTTGTAAAGGGAGCTGTCTTTTTGGCTTGCGGTTAAAATGTTTGTGAAATAGATTTTGAGCAAAATTATCACTTTAAAATTTTAGAACCTTAGTAATTGAACTTTAAACTTTGAACCTTAAACTTGACTATCTATAATAATTAATATTATAACTTATAAGGAAAACATTGACCAAATTAATAGACTGTGTATTTTTAAAAACGAACTTCGTCTTATATATAAAATGCTGTTCGTTCTCGTCTCGCTAAAACTCGAAAACGGCTGGACCGATTTGGCTAATTTTCGTTTTGAACTATTTATGGCAGTCAAGGGAAGGTTTAAACGATGAGAAATTATGGAAAAATTGCATGGAAAATCGAAATAGCAACAATTTTATTTTCCCTGTCAAACGATTTTTGAACGCGTTCCGATTCCTCTAGAAATAATTTATATGGAAAAACAACGTTTGCCGAGTCAGCTAGTTTATTTATAAAAAAACTGTCGTTATAATTTGCACCCAAATCATTTATTTTGATAGTATAACTCGATTGTTACACAAAATTAAAAAAAAAATAGATTGTAGAACATTAAAGCTCTCTTACTGTAAATATAAGATTGTCACGTGGTTTTCATATTAACCGTTTTTACAAGTTGATACCTTCAATTTAATAGAGCACTATTAAAATGAAAGCACAGTGAGACATATAAAAGCCTAAACTTCTATATCAAGCCATATACAACGAATTTGTAGAAAACCCACTGCACATTAAGGGCCACTAAGAGAATAAATAATAGCAAATAATTATAAATATGTGGAATCAAAACGTTTAAGGTAAATAATAGGAATAGTTGAATTAAAAGTAAAATTTAAATATAAAAGGTACGCATTACCTATATATATCACTTACGATAGCAAAAACGGAAATAAAAATCCTCAGCTCAAAAAGCAAGCAATGTGCTTTTAATTCACAAGATCAATCAAAAGATTCTAGATACAGTTCAAATAATTGACTATCTAACATTAACAGCATTTTTTGTAGTTTTATCTTTCTGTTTCCCAATGCAAAAAATGCTAATCAATTTCCCAAAGTAACAAACTACCTTCGTACATATTTCGACATATCGCTTTTACATACACGTTTCCATATCTAACACGGATGTCACCAATGAATATACAATTATAACATGTATATAAAATTGAACTTTGTACACGCAATTTTATACAATTCAATGGAAAGGCTGTCTTTTATGTTTTTGTCGTTGGCGTCATTCATTACACAGTCAGCGATTACGATTTTCTTTGAAATAAAATTTTTCAACAAAAATCGTTATAACTGTAGGATTGCTTTTCTTGTTTTTCTACGTTAGCTTTCTTTTTGCTTGTCATTCAAGTTTTGTTTACACCCCTACTGTCGATAAACGTTATCCTTTGACTTAAAAACATTATACAGCCCCTTTAATTTTAGAAATACTGTTATGGGCTTTTTGCAAGCGTTATATTTATGTAGGTATGTATAACTAATGACGAAAACAAAAACAATACCTGTAACTACTGCAACTGTACAAGATATTTTGATAATTTATGGAATTTAATTAAAGTGATTTTTAAGTAATAGACGAAAGCAGTAAGAATTTCTACAAATTTCACCTTAACCGCATAGATAGAGACAAAATACAATGGATATCAACGTTTCATCAAGTTTATGTTGCCGCAATGGTGACATGTGCAAAGAATTTCTCTGAAACTCGAACCCCCATCGTAATACAACATTTAAAAAATGATACATACAGTTTGCTACATACT